ATTCCTGCCCACCCAACTGTGAGCAGGCCTAGTGAGCCCCGTGGTCTCCGAATGATTTGGTGAGGGGGGTTAGTGTTTGTCTTGGGGTGGGGGCAGGGAGCATCCTTCATCCCTCAGCTCAGAAAGGGTGGGTTGGATTGCAGAGTGAGAGTGAAAGGTCCAGACCCCTCGTCCAGGTGCTATAACTGAGGAGGCGCTGTAACTGGCCATTCTTACGGGCTGGATGCAGGAGTCAGGAGTCCTGGCTGCTGACTTGTTCCATGACTGGGATGGTCCCTTTGCCTTTCTGAGCCTGTTTTCCCGTCTATAAATTCTGTGACTCAACCACAAGCTATTTCCAGCCAAAATTTTACGTGGAATTCAAGACGAACAAAGGGCCCAGGGAACACCTTTAGGGCTACTGCCCAAGAAAGAAGGGACGGGTGAGCCTGGCCTCTATGTCCTCAGGCCCAGCTCTGTGGATGCCTTGGGTCCATTCCACCCAGCTGCTGACACAGGAAGCATGGCCCCTCTGGGGCTCCTGGAGCTGAGCCATTCCCACTTCTGACACCTGAGTCTCTCATGACCGCCACCCCCCACCAGGGTATGATCTTTGACCCTTCCCCATTTCTTCCGTGCAATAGCCCCTGCCCCCTCCCAGGGGGCCCAGAGTTGCTGCCTAGACCTCATGGCCATTTGCCCTTCGAGGGCTGGGCTTGGGGTGCAAGCCTGGGGTTGGGGGGGCCTTTGACCATTACCTCCAGGTCTCCCTTGGTGATGGACTCCTCCTCCACTCGGAACTGCAGGTCCTCCACCTTCCTGCAGGGGGAGAGGGGGCTGAGTGAGCTTCACCCAGAGGGGTGGGCTTTGCCAAGTCAGCAATAGCAGAGAGAGCCAAGGCCACAGGTGGCCCAAAGTCCACACTCAGATTATGCAGAAGACACTGCCCAGAGCCCAAGCTCCTGGAAACATCCAGCCCTCCCAATTTACTGATCCATGCTCTACACAGAGAACACTGCCTTCTCTAAAATAGACACTGCTTTGGGAAAGATCCTCAGTGTTCTCCTTACTTGCTGCAAGAAATAAATCCTTCCTTCTGCCAAAAAAATTAAAAATTAAAAAAATTACACACACACACACACACACACACACACACACACATACACACACACACATATACAATAGGAATGTTTAATGCAGCATCCTTCTCTGCTAGGGTGGTTGTGGAAATAAATAACAGAATGGATAGTAAATGGAAGCACTAACAGCTCTGTTTTCATCACAGCAGGGAACAGACATGCCACACGGAACAGTCTGTGGGGAAGGAGGCCAGGTGGGCTTCTTCCCCCACTGACCCCATTCTCATTCCCTCCCCCCCAAATCAGGGCCCAGAGTCCCAGCCCCCACTGCTTGGGCTGCTCCCTGATGTGGAGGGCCCCCAACGCCCTGCTGCAAGTGTGGGGCCCACCCTCAAGGAGACACACCCACCCACCCCCGAGAGAGCACAGGGAAGAGACACAGGCACATTACAGCTCACAAAGCTGCTACTCCTGGGGCCTCGTGACAGCTCCCAGCACACAGAGGATGAAACTAAGGCCCAGAAAGGGCCAGTGACCTGCCCAAGGTCACACAGCAAGTGCAGGGCAATGCTGGGACTTGCACCCAGGCCTTCCTGAACACAACTCCCACGACGTCTCAAAGATCTGTTTTTGTTTGTTGGCATCAGGCACGTTGCCATGGGAACCAGATGCGTGGGCCCCACCGACCGTCTCAGGCAGATATAAATAAGCCCTCCTGTCTCCAAGTCAGACAGTAACAACAGCCCGTGGAGCACATGCCTCAGCTGAAAGCCCAAACCAGACCCAAGTTGGGGGGAGGTGGAGGGCTGGGTCTGGGAGGTGCTACTGTGCAGGGGAGCAGAGGAAGCTACAGAAATCTGTGTGTCAGCAGCTAGGAGACAAAGAGAGGCTTCTGGGCTGAGGGAAACCCTTGTCAGGCCCTAGTCAGCTCTGAGTCCCACCAGGTGACCCAGGACCAAGTCAGGCCAGAGTCCCCACACACAGGGAACACAACTCCCACTTGCCACTGGCAGGACAGAAAGAGCCAGTGGCACCACTAACAGGCTGGCGACCTCAGGCAAGTCCGTTCCCTGCTCTGAGCCTCAGTTTTCTCATCTGTGACCTGGGGGGCAATACCTGCCTCCTGGGCTAATTGTAAGACAGAGAGAGACAGAGCAGGTAAAGCACCCAGCCCCAGGGCTGAGCCCCAGGCGCAAGGTGTTTCCAGGGGCCTTTTCCTGCTGCTTCTCTGAGCCTCGGTTTCCTGACACATGTAATGGGAATGAAGCTTCAGGACACGGGCTGTGAGCTCCACGTGAGGGACCTGATGCAGAAGGGGTGTTCCCTGCGCTGAACTGGGTCACGGGGTGGGGACATCGGATGCACGTCTCCCTAGTGATAGGTCCCCCCCACCCGCCTGGGCGTTCTCATGATGCTGCATGAGCCTGGCAGGGCAGGAACGGTGAACCCCACGTCAGGAAGGAAAACAGTGACGTATGTAGTATCTCCCACGTGCTCAGTGTCATGCTGGGTGCTTTACTGGAAAAGTCCTCCCAACAGCCTGCAGAAATGAGGATCATCACCCCACTTTGCAGATGAGACGACTAAGGCCCGCAGAGCTCATGTCACCAGCCCAGGTGACACAGCCAGTACGTGGTGGAGGTGCGGTTTGTGCCTGCTGGTCCTGAGCCTTCCTTTTCCTGGTCATCCTCAACGAGGCTCTAGGAAAGTGTCCCGCCAGGACCAGGACAGGAGCGGCACCTACCTCCTTTCCTCCTCCAGCTGGTTGGACAGGTCCACCTTCTCTTTCCGCACGCTCTCCACCAGCAGCCGGGCCCGCTGCAGCTTCTCCTCTGCCTCTGCAACATACTGGGCCCCGAGCGAGGGCCAGGACAGGGTCAGCCCCCTCCTGGGGACCGGGAGCCCGGTGGGGGAGGGGTGGGTGTGGAGGTGGTGCAAGGAGCCAGGCTTGGAACCCAGCCACCCCTACTCCCCTGCCAGCCCTAATCTGACCGGAACCGTGGACCTAGATGTGAGGAAAGAGGGCCGGCTGAGTGCCAGGAACGGGAACATCAGGTCCACCTGCCCCCAGTACCTGCCACCTCCCTCAGCCCTTGAGGGCCTAAGACCTATTGTCTTGTCAAGGCCCCTGTCACGGCACACACATGAGCTTGGCCTTAGTAATTCCGGAACCCGAGGGAAGAGTGAGCCAGGCTCCAAATGGGGACAGGGGCCTAGGAGGGAGCTCCCACGTGGGGAACAAGCAGCAGGGAAGAGTAGACACATGACAGCAGCAGAGTCAAGGCTATGGGCGAGGACTTCCTTCCCTGAAACCCAACCCAGGAATCAATCTGCTCGAAAGCATGATCTGAGATGTGGACAGATGTACCCCAAAAATGTTTACATCAGGATTATTTAGAAAAAGTGAGGAATTGGAAAACCACCTAAACACCAGCAGGGGACAGGCCACGTCAGTAAGGACACAGCCCGTAACAGACGGCAACGCAGTCCTTCAAACGGGGAAGAATTTTCCATGACCTAGAAATCGTGCTCGCACTACAGGAAGTAGGAAAAAGCAGGACACGCAAGTTTGTATCGAGGTTGCGGAGGTAGAATGTGGACCTACCATTGGAAGGAAATTCACCAGGAGGATGCGGGGTGCTGGTAACATGCGTCTCAGTGTTCTCTGCACACCCCAAGTTCTCCTCACTGAGCGTGACTGAGGGACAAGACTGGCCCGAGGAGAGCGCTGGTGCCCTCTGGGTGCTCCATGGCCCTGCCTGCCCACCCACCTGCTCATGCTGTGCCTTGAGCAGGGCGATCTCCTTCTCCACCTCACAGATGTGGCTCGTGGCCTTGGCCACCTCGGCCCGCTCCAGGTCCCGTTCAGCCAGCAACTGCTCGATGTGCTGCTGTTTCTCCTTCAGCGCCTCTTGCAAGGCAGTCGTGCCCGAGATCTTGCGGGCATAGCGCGAAGAGGTCTCCGTGAGCTGCAGGAAGGCGTGGGTGCAGGCAGGACTCAGGGATGTGGAGCACCGTCCAGGCAACCCACCACTACCCAGCAAGCGGGGGATCCAAGTGCCTCAACTCCTGGGGTTCGGTTCCTCCCCTCCCAGGGCCCTAGACACTCTGCCTAGTTATGTAAAGGGAATCATGATGTTTGCGATCCAGGGAACTCCCTGCTCCCAGGAGAGTCACAGCCCCTGGGGGTCTGCCTCATGGTGGGCTCCCTCACCTGGGCCACCTTCTCCTGGCCTAGGAGGAACCTCCCGTGTAGACAGAGCTCTGCTGGAAGGGCAACCTCACCTCCCCTGCTCACCCAAGGTGGCTGTGCCAGCCTTTCTAAAGCACCTGCCCTGCACCTGTATCACCTGTGTGCACCTGTATTACCTGCCCTGCCTCTGTATGACCCTCTTTAACTCCCAGGGAAGGGCTTAAGCTACTGACAAATCGGTAATATAAAAATAACAATAAATGTAAATGGGTCAATTTCTCTGTTAAAAAATATACATTTTCATCTTTGTTCAAAAACTCCAAACTGATGGATGCCTGGAACCAGAGCAAGTCAGGGGACAACTGCGTCTCTCTGTCCCCGCCCCACTCCCATACACACACCAGGGTGTCCCTCACCAGGCCACTGCGGCTGGGCCGGCCCCCCACGGAGGAGGCCACAGAGCTGACAGAGCTGATGGAGGAACTGCTGGGACTGTGGGTCAGTGCCGAGACTCCCATGGCCATGCGCTTGGTCTTCTTGGCCTTGGCTGGGCTGGTGGATGGGAAGCCGATGCGGATTACCTTGTGGATGGGTGCGAAGAGACCAAACTTGGGTGGGCACTGGAAGTACCTGGAGAGGTAGGAGAGACCATGCTGCTGTCACGGCCCCATAGCCTGGAGCCTGGCCTGCCTCCCCTACCTCTTCAGAGCCCAGCAGAGAGAGGCTTCTCCTGGGCGACCCGTCACCCACACCCTAAGACCAACAGACAGGACTCCCAGAAAGGGAATAGAGGTGAGCAGGGCCTGATATTCTGCATAGCCATGAACAGTGGTTGGGGGATGGAGGAATATTTCTGGGGGATGGAGGAATAACAATTACCGATCACCTGCTCTATGCCAGTCCCTTTACATAAATGCTCATTTCAATCCCCCAACCACTCTATTGTTATCCATATTTCACAGATGAGATTTAGGCTCAGAGAGGTTAAGTAACCTGCCCACAGTCAGATAGCTGGTTAAATGGCAAAGCTGAGACTGGACCCAGTGGACCCCAAAGTCCACTATGCTTTGGCTCCCAAACATCAGTCAGAGGCTCCCAGCCTTATCTGCAGCCCCACTCTCATGGCTGCCTCTGGACCACCCCCAGGCCCAAGGCTCTCTGCCCATGGAGCCCCCGAATGGAGAAGCAGAAGCCTGAAGGAGGCACCTTAGGGGTGGGGTGAGGGATGCTGCCCAACCTGTCCCTGGATTCTGAAAGCAAGAGTAAATTGAGAGAAACATCCGTCTTGAAAACAGGAAGGCAAGTGTTGTCATAGAAGTCTGGATCATCTTCTCTCAAAACCTCTCTAGCCATGGATTCCACGGGGGACCAGGAACCTAGTTCTGTCCTGTTTCCCGCTCACCTTGAAACTGCCACCCCACCCTGCCTCTTCCCGCATTCAGGTCTTTGTGCAGCCTGACCCCCAGCCTAGCACACCTTCCTTCTCAGAGCTGTCACAGCCTCACCTGGATGACAGAACCTAGCCCAGGGACAGCCAACACAGGCTCGCAGCCCACCTTGCCTTACCCCACACCCCTGACGCTGCTCAGCCATAGCATCACCCACCCCCCACCCTCAAAGGGCCCAGGCATGGCCTTAGACCTTCTCAACCCAGCATTCTTGGCAGTCAATTCCCTTTAATCAGAGATGCTGAGAAACCTGGGACCCAGCTGTGACCCTAACCTTGGCTGTAGAGCACCACGCACTGTCTGATTATTTCCTGTGTCACCCAGGGCAACTCTCAGAAGGCAGGACCCCTGCCTCTCCTTTTCTGGTGCTCCCACCTCACTTAGTCATGGGTGGCAGGGGGAGGGGAACCCAGGGACAGATGACTCTCCTAGCGCTTGCTCGTGACTCTCTGTGTGACCTTGAGCAATGACCTATCTGGCCTTGGTTCTCTGATCTGTAAAATGGGGGTGATATTCCCACCACCTGCTTCCGTGAGCTGCTATGACAGAAGGGAGGTGGTAGCATCTGTACATGGTATCTGGCACAGCCACCCAGATGCTCAACACTGGCATTCTCAGATGCCCCAACCCCGACCCCTGCACCCACCCTAGGAGAACAGGACTCCCTTCCTCCCTCCCCACCATACCTGGTGCCCGCCACCGCCCCATCGTTCTTCCCAAGGGGCTCGTCCAGCTCCACGCCACACCACTCGCCCTTGGCAAAGTCTGTCTCCCCGACGTACCGTACCACGCCAGTCTTCGTCCCACCAACCTATAGGCACACAGAGAGACTCAGGTCCAGAGGATGCAGTGGGAACTGCAGAGATGGCACAGGCACCCAAGTGCCCGGGCTCATCCCACGCCTCCCTTCCAGTGTGCAAGGGCCAGGGGAGATGAGGGGGAGGCCCAAGGACAGCTGGGAGGGGTACAGGTATAAACAGTGCTTCCCAGGGCTGTCCCAAGCAAGAGCTCTGGAGTCAGAAAGACAGACCTGCATTCAAACCCTGCCACTTATAAGGTGCATGAGCTTGGGCAAGTTACCTAACCTCTCTGAGCGCCAGCATCTTCATCTGTCAGAATGGCTTTTGTGAGGATTAAGTACTAAATGTGCAGTGTCTGGAGCATACTAGAGTCTCAATAAATGTTATCCTTAAAAATGGTTTAGGGGGTGGGAGGGAGACGCAAGAGGGAGGAGATGTGGGGGTATATGTATGTGTAGAGCTGATTCACTTTGTTATAAAGCAGAAACTAACACACCACTGTAAAGCAATTATACTCCAATAAAGATGTTTAAAAAAAAAAAAGGTTTAGGGAATTCCCTGGCAGTCCAGCGGTTGGGACTCCATGCTTTCACAGCCGAGGGCCCGGGTTCAATCCCTGATCAGGGAACTGAGATCCCACAGACCGAGCTGTGTGGCCAAAAGGAAAAAAAAAAATGGTTTGAATGGAGGTTGCTAGGAGCTGGGCAGGAAGGGAAGCGGGGAGTTGTTGTTTAATGGGAATATCATTATCCAGAGCTTTTTTGTTGAATATCCATATTTATATTCCGTGGCCTTCTGTTCAGATTTGACACTGGTATCACCTTCTCTTATTTCTCACAGGACCGGCCACCTTCCCCAGAGAAGCTTCTGTACCCTCTGGAGGGTGCAGGCTTGGCCGCCAGTGATCTAGGAGCTGAGTGAGGGAGAAGCCGGGGGGAAAAAGGGGCTCAGCTTTTAGGATAGACATGTTCATTTAATCCTCCCTTTTCAGTCCAGCATGCCAGGGGTTCCCCCATCCAAAGACGCCTTCTCTGAACCTCTCATGAGACAACCACTCATCCCAGACGTCTGCTGGAGGGGCAGTCACCGCACAGAGGGGACCCTAGGCAGGGAGGTGGAGTCTGAAGATTTTTTAAACAATGTCAGCTCCATTTCCAGAGGCCACCATACGGCTGACTTCCCATCCTCAGGGGGCTTCTGAGGGAAACACTGATTGCTTCTCTGCTTTCCCCGCAGCTGCCTGTGCACTGGGCTGCACTGGGTTTCCAGTGGTATGTCTGCTGTCTCCTCTCCTGTTCTCTTTGTCCTTGAGGGTTTAATACCTTTTTTTTTTTTTTTTTTTTTTTAAAATCCCTTCACTGTCATTCTAGTGCAAATTCAGGAAAGGGTGAAAATAAATGTGTGTGTTTATCTACTGTGTTTATCTGAACCAAAATAGGACTTTCTAAATGTTACCTTCTCTGACACCCTTAAGTATGCCTCAGGTGTGCCCGAAAGGAACCAGCTCCCTAATTAAAACTCACTCTATTCCCACCATTTCTTAAGGACTGGCTATGTGCCAGGCACATTGAAGACATGAATTCTAAACCTTGCAATTCAGGAGTTCCCTGGTTGCCTAATGGTTAGGATTCGGCGCTTTCATTGCCGTAGCCCAGGTTCAGTCCCAGGTTGGGGTATTAAGTCCCGCATGCCGCAGCGCACGGCAAAAAAACAAAACAAAGCAAATCCCCAAAGCCATAAGGGAATACTACGAACAATTACATGCCAACAAATTCGACAACCTAGAAGAAATGGACAAGTTTCCTCCTCACCAGACCCCACTGCATGTGCGCCAGGCCCTGCCCTCCAAGGTATGAGACCTTTCCCTTCTTTCTTTTTTTTATTATATTTAACCTGTCTTTACTGTACAAAATTAATAAGACTTTTTTAAAGATGTTGCTCTTTAAAATTTATTTATTTATTTGGCTGCACCAGGTCTTAGTTATGGCACGTGGGATCTTCATTGCAGCGCGTGGACTTCCCTCTAGTTGCAGCGCGAGGGCTCAGTAGTTGTGGTGTGTAAGCTTAGTTGCCCTGCAGCACGGAGGATCTTAGTTCCCCAACCAGGGATTGAACCCGCACCCCCTGCATTGAAAGGTGGATTCTTAACCACTGGACCACCAAGGAAGTCCCTAATAGACTTTGTTTTATAGAGATATTTTAGGTTTCTGGAAAATTTGAGCAGAAAATACAGAGAATTCCCATATATCCCGTCACCTCTCGCCCCTACAGTTTCCCCTCTTATTAACACCCTGCATCAGTGGGGTGCATTTATTACAATGGTGAGCCAACAAATTGTTATTAACTTATTAAGTCCATAGTTTATATTAGGGTTCACCCTTGGTGTTGTACATTCTATGGAGTTTGAGAAATATATATAATGACTCGTACCCACCATTATAGTATCATACAGAATAGTTTCACTGCCCTAAAAATGCTGTGTTCCACCTATTTTTCCCTCCCTCCCCTACCCCCTGGTAACCAACGATCTTTTACTCTCCCCAAAGTTTTGTCTTTTCCAGAATGTCATACAGTTGGAATCATATAGTACGTGGCATTTTCCCACTGGCTTCAGTCACTTAATACTACGCATTTAAGGTTCCTGAATGTCTTTTCATGGCTTGACAGCTCATTTCCTTTTAGCCTTGAATAACACTCCACTGTCTGGATGCACCTTAGTTTATTTATCCATTCACCTACTGAAGAACATCTCGGTTGCTTCCAAGTTTTAGTAGTTAGGAATAAAGTTGCTAGAAATATTTGTATGTAGGTTTTCATGCAGATAGATCAGCTCATTTGCGTAAGTACCAAGGGGCAGGACTGTTGAATCGCATGGTGAGAGTATGTTTAGTTTTGTAAGAAGTGGCCAAGCTGTCTTCCTAAGTGCCTGTGCATTTTGCATCCTGGCCCTCCCCAGCAAAGCACCAGAGTCCCTGTAGTTCCACTAAGGGACTGTCCCTCCCCACACCACCACTGGGGGACAGGCTGGGCCCATCTCCGGAGGGATGAGTCCCACCAGCTCCTTTTCCAGCACCTGAGGGTTATCTGTGAGTCTGGAATCCCCACTGGCCTGGGCCAAACAGCGACTACATCCCGGGTCTCATAAAACAAGGGAGGTGGGCAGATTGAATTTATCTGTTTCTCCGGGATTTTCCTCTGAGGAAGTTAAAACAGGTGACTCATTTAAAATAAACCCATGCGTCTTGCCCACAAGGACAGACAGCTCTGCCATCAGGAGGCTGGGGTAAGTCCCCCGGTCTCACAGGGCAGCCATGAGGGTCCAGTGAGGGGCTCATTTCCAAGGCCTGGGGCAGCACCTGCTGGGCCGCTGTGGCGGAAGAGCAGAGCAAGCGGGGAAGGAGGAGGTCCCGGTAGGAAAGAGGCTGCCCGGGAGAGACGGGCAGGTGAGTGGTGCCATTGGGCCACCTTCAGGGGGATGAGGGGACAGAGGTGAGCAGCCCTTCTCGGTGATCCTCCCTGACCATGTCCACGGTCACTGACCTGAACAGCTAGTGAGGGGCATCTGGGGCTCAACTAGCTTTTGCAGCATCGACGTCATACACGTGGTACCTCACTCGCTCTCAGGACCACCTGGCAGGGCCGTGAGTCATTTACTGAGCAGGAAGGTTCGAGCGCCTTCCTGGCACCAGGCTCTGTTACAGGCACTGGGGGTGCAGCCATGTGAGCAAAACACCACAACCATCCTCATCAGGGCGGGAAGCAGACAGCCCAGCAGTAAGTGAGTAAATGCTGTCATTCCAAGAAGATGACAAGGGCTATGTGGAAGAGCACCGGGGGGCCCCGTCTCCAAGAGGTGACATTGGCGCAGAGGCCTAATGGAAGCGGGACAGTGAGCTGTGGGGAGCCCTGGGGTCAGAGTCCCAGGTGGAGGAGGTCAGCAAGGCACAGCAGAGGCACTGGCCTGGTATGGGAGCAAAGAGGAGGAGGCCAGGGCGGCCAAGTGCAGCCAGGATGGAGGGCAAAGTCGGATCATACGACGGTGGGCGGGCAGACCACAAGGGTCTGGGGTCCATGGGAAGATGGGTGGGTTTTATCCCACGTGAGATGGGGGCTCCTGGAGTGTTGGGCCCTGAGTGGGGGCAGGGAGACCAAGGAGGGGGCGGTTCCAGTGCTGGAGAGGACCTGCCCACAGAGGTGGTGGGCTGGGGACCAATTTGGGTGTATTTTGGAGGCAGCACCAGAGGCCTGATTATGAATCACGTGGTCAGGAGGAGAGAAAAACAGGACGTAAGGCCAACTGTCAAGTTCCTGGATTGGTCTGCTGAAGACACACGTGTGCCATTTACTGAGATGGGGAGGCCGGGGGTGGGGGGTGCGTGCGGGGGGAGCAGGTCGGGGATGGGGGTTGGGTGTGTTATAGTTTGAACTGTGTTCCCCAAAAAGACATGCTGAAGACCCGACTCCCACGACTATGAGTGTAACCTGATTAAAAAATAAGGTCTCTTATGGGAGTTCCCTGGTGGCCTAGTGCTTAGGATTCCGGGCTTTGACTGCCGTGGCCCGGGTTCAATCCCTGGTTGGGGAACTGAGATCCCGCAAGCTGTGCGGCACGGCCAATAAACAAACAAACAAACACATAAATAAAAATAGGGTCTTTTACATGTGATCACATTAGGATGAGGTCATTAGGGCGGGCCCTAATCCAATATGACTGGTGTCCTTATAAGAGAAGAGACACGGAGGGAAGAAGTCCACGTAAAGACTGAGGCAGAGATTCAAGGAGTGCACCTATAAGCCAAGGAACGCCGAGGAGTGCAGGCAACACCAGAACCCAAGAGAAGGGCATGGAGCACATTCTTCCCTTGATCCTTCGGAGACAGCATGGCCCTGCCAACACCTGGGATTTCAAATGTCTAACCTCCAGAACTTGGAGAGTGTACATTTCTCCTTTAAGTCATCCAGTTTATGGTACTCGTTACAGCAGCCATAGGAAACTAATGCAGGTTAAGTG